ACTACCTTTGAGTGCAAGAAGCTACCAAAGCCTTTAACTTTTCCTTTCTTTCTTTCTTGGGGGGTGGGAGGTGTTTGGATCTATAAGATAGTGTTGCTTAAAGCTTTGACCTTGGTGCCATGAGTATCTATATACCAGGTGGGTGGCTTGCATTAGTGAAAAGAGGAATGGACCCCTCATGCCCCATAATTTTCCATCAATATCAACCACTAAGAGAGCTTTTCTTGACTTCAAACTTAATTTGAATGCGAAGAGGGGATAAAAGGAGGGAGGCTATGTTCTTATGAAGCCACAAAGTGGGTTGAGAGATCCTTATAAATGGGGCCATGGGTTGATCCAGGAATACTTGCCTGAAAAATTAAGGATCTGTTTGAATCATGGTTTCTCAATGCCCTACAATTATTGGAGAGATAGTGAAAAGGCATTAGGTCCTTTTAGTGGGCAAGCTTTTCTTTGATTAAGGAACCAACTATAACAAGACACTTGTCGTTTGTTGACCATTCTACTGTAAGAGAGAGAGAGAGATGTAAAAGCTGTGGGATTGAGAGTAATGAGGTCATTTGATGCTTTGAGTGGAAAGTAATTATCATTACATAGCATCATACTTAAAATGATTCTACCAAAAAAAGAAATACTTAAAATGAGGGAATGGAAAAAATAAATCTAGAGATAAAAAAGCAAGGAGGGTTCCACAAGGAAACTCCACCAAGGCCCTCCAATTGCAATCAAATTTTCTTTTGAGGAACAAGGCATATTCAAGATTTCTTATAGTTGCATTTATTCACATCAGCTTATTTTTCTAATAGTCCTGAATCCATTTTCATATATATTCAATCATAATTGCACTATCATCAAACTCAACCCAGATATAAATTAACTTGGGTTCGATTTCCTACACTTTTTTTTTTTTCTCTTTTTGTTTTTTTCCCTTCAACTACCTATTCTTAGGAGAATATATACACATGTCATGGGACACTTATCATAGTTTGAATACAAATGTACGTAGAAGATGAAGTGTAGGAAATTCAGACTCGGGAAAGGGTAAGCTCATCACTCATGTCCTAAGTAAAACAAGATTTTGCTTTGGTTTGATTTGATTTTCTTCACTCCAGGTCTGCTACAAACAAGCCTTGTACACAAATGGCTACATGATCCAAAGAAGAATAAACACGGACGCCAGCGATCCATGCAAGTAGGGACTTGTATAGATTCTGGTGAGCTCACTCTGATTTGGGTTCATATTATAGCCCCATTACTACTTATACATATTCAATCTGTAGCCCATTATACACTTACTTTGTTTGTAGCAGATTCAACCCTGGTTTTCCTAATGGAATTGTTTCTTGGGCTGGCATTCATGTTCTACACTGCACTTGGAAGAGGTCCATGAGTCATCATCATCATTATGACATTATCCAATTACCCCTGCATGTGTTGCAGGAGTAGTGTGATGGAATTAGAGGAGATCGGCTTTCCTCATGGCAAGCCCGTGTTCACACTGTTTTAACCCTCATTTGCAATTTTGTATTAGGAATATTTTTTCGTGAAATAAAACAATTAAGTACAAAAATATTCATTGGAGAGAGAAATTAACATCTCTATATATAAGGCATGTGATAGGGGTATTTGAGTTCGGATATAAGGATAACTTCAGTCAGTTTTTCAAATTCGATTTCAACTGATAAATATTCAGTTTCAAAATTCACCAGCATAGCTGCTATAAATATATAAAATAAAATTATATTTTTTTTTTCAAACCACACTCGACCTTGAATTTAAATATAAGAGGATTTTAGTTGAAGTCAAGATATGCTGAAGTACAATTTGATTCGATTGGAATATTGCACCCCTGGCTACAAAAATACACAGGTCATTCCATGATTACTTGGATTTGATCCAATGCAACCATCTCAATTTTTGGGTCATCGGCCAAAATTCAATTCACATAGATTTCATCCTAACACTGTCCTCATACCCTTTTGTAGCCGTGCACTGGGAATATCTCCTACTATTATGCTTTTATTTTCTAAGTACACATCTGCACGGGGCTGTGAGGACGATGTGTACACTTTTACAAGACCAAACCTAAAATCACAAAGAGAAAATTCTTGAAGGATTTTTTGTGCTACACTACAAAGCCAAAATTATGTCAAACAATTATGGTCTTGTTTGGCAACGTTCTCATCTGTTTTTCTTTTTTCAGAAATTCTTGTGCTAGAACAAGAATTTTATTTCTTGTTCCTTAGGATAAACAGAAGCGTTTGGCAAATTGTTTTTCAAAAATGGATTTTGTTCCACAAAAACAGAAATAGTGTTTGGATAACAACAACGATCTATGCAATAGTAGGAAATGTTTCACTAAATTGGCATATGCATTTAGGAAGAAAAAACGGAGCATAAAAAAAGTTTTAAGACGAAAAAAAAAAAAATAAACAGAGCATACAAAATTAGAAACGCCAACAACAAAGAAAACCTTACCTGTGTATGAGATTTTGACTAGAAAATGTTCATCGAAGATGATAAACTAGTCGTTCGCCATCAGTCCTTGATGCATAGTGGGATTGCAGCAGGAGCACCGAGAACAAATGAAGAAAATTGCTCGAAGATTAGGGCTTGGAGGGGTGGAGAGTTTATGTCATCAATGCGAAATGATGATGTTGCTCCTTTTCTCACGTGGGAAGGGCAAAAACGTGTTCGTAAATAAACTAAGATGATGTGGGAACCATGCATTCCTTGAGAATGTATTCTCTGGATGTGCCAATTTGTCACTTCCAAAGAACACATTTTTTGGGTGTTGTTCTCACTCAGAAATGATTTGTTTCTCATGTTTTTTTTTTTTTTTTTTGCCAAACATGTTTCTGTTCTACGAAAACACCGGGAACAAGAGAAACACTTCTGCAGAACATTGCCAAACAGGCCCATTCCTTCTTTTTTCTAATTTTGTGAGAACACAACCTATGATAATCCAATCCTGTATATATAAAAAAAAAAAAATAGAAAACAAAAATCACGTTATTCATCTGAGCTTAGTATTCTATCAGGCATTCATGTGCTGACTAGGAATTGCACAAACCGGTCCCGACCCAATTAGGAATCAGGACACCAATCACAAAACCAAACCGATATAATTAATTTGGTCGGTTTGGCTCTGAACCCGATCCATTGATTTCTCTCTTATTAAAAAATTAGGTTTGCTACAATTTCCCTTTTCCTTAATTAATTTTGTGAGAAATCAACACATCTACAACCTGCAACAATCCTATGTATATAAAAAAGGGTAAATTATAGATAGGTACCTTATATTTTGGGGGTAGTCACAGATAGATACTTTGAATTTTCAATTGCAATATTTGAATATCCTGAACCATAAATATTGTATAATGTCAAAAATACTTTAATCATGTATTTTTGAGATCATTGTAAGGAATAAAAACATCACTAGARAATACCATCATCAGAAAATTTGAATGTTATTTGATGTCCGTGTAAAATCGTCATCATGGAAAAACRTTTGATTACTTGAGAATGATCTAAAAAATACACGAAAAAGGTATTTTTAACATTATGTAATATTTAACTAAGTRTCTATTTTTGAAAGTTCATGATATTCAAGTGTTGCAATTGAAAGTTCCGAACCTATCTATCACTACCCCCAAAGTTCATGATACCTATCTGTATAAAATTTCAAGGTATATGCCTGGACCGAGGAATTCTCCTCTTCTCCATTGTAAGGATTGACGTAGCAGATCTTAAGCGGTTCCACGTCATCATCCCACATGTACCCTTGGCCTTGATTAAATAACCAGGATAACGAAACATCCCTTTCTCAGAAGTCAGAACCTGCGATCCGCCTAGAAAACCGGCTCGCTCGAACGCTGTGGCGGCTTGAACCGGGACTAGTTATTCAACAAGAGAGATGTTTCTCCCTCGTCAGATTAGAATCTAATTAATCTCAGTATCTGCACCCTCAGGTAAGGGCCTCCTCATTGTAACACGACACGTTACGACTAATGAGAACTTCTTCAAAAAAGAAGCTGCAGGCCACGTGCGGTGTATGATGAAAGCCGTTCTCTTTACCAATGGCAATTTGTAAATTTCAGGAAAAACCAAGGGCATTTCAGAGATTAAATAAGTCTACGTGAGAAAAACAAACAGGCTGCAATAAATGCAGAAAGTGTTCTTCTTTCTATAAGTCTCCCTCTTTTTTCTCGGTCGATGAAAAAAGGACGCGGCCAAGATGCACGCGTCGGCTGAGCTCTTCCGAACCGCTACGATAAACCACGACTTATCACGATAAATTGATAAAACGCCGATATTCAGATGTCGGACGAGACACAATATGCGAAAGGCTGGAAGCGTTTTATCTAAGGGGGGGGCCCACGAGACATGATCAGAACCATCTGATCTCAGAATAAAGTCACGTTGGGTTTGCATGCGCGACACGTGTCAATCTGGTGTTTTTACTAAGCCGGGACGCTGTGAAAGTTAATCTCGAGAAGCGCGTAAAAAGGTGAAAAAGAGAAAGGGAACGGGGGGGTGAGAGCGTGCGTTGTGGAAAGCGAATATGATGATTTCGTTTTGCCGACTTTGAAGACTTAAAAAGTAGCGAAAAGGCTGAGGGAAAATATTTTCCGAAAAAAAGCAAAAGAAAATAGGAAAAGAGAGAAGGTTCAGAGGGAAAAAGGTGAAATCCGTGCGGTGACTTTTTTACTGGCAGAGGTTGCGTGTGAAAAAGCAGATATTTGGTTTCGAACATCCCCATAGAAAGAGGAGAGAGAGGAAAAGAGAGGAGAGAGGAGAGAGGAAAGAGAGAGAGGATTTTTCAAGTAAAATTTGTTACTTATTTTGGAGAGAGGGAGAGGGGGTAAAAAGAGAGTTAAATAGTTAAATCACTCATTAGTGGGTCATCAGTTGCGTAGACTGTAGACAGAAAAAGAGACTGAACTGAACTCATATTTAAATGGACTTTTAAGCAGAGGAGCCATGAAAAAGAGGAAGAAGACCCACTTCAGAAATATCCTAAGAGGGAATTTCACCAAACCCGAAATCTTTCCAATGTAAAATATAGTTAAATTAAATAAAAAAATATTGCAAATCTCTCTCTCCTCTTTCTCTCTATCTCTCTAAGTGTCTGTAGTTTGTTAGAGCCATCAACAGTATTGTAATTGAATTAGGTTCAGTAGTAAAACGGTAGCTTTGATTTTCTTTGTTTTGTTTTGTTTTGTTTTGGTGATTTTTTTTTTTCTGGGTTGCCTTCTCGTTTTGGTAGTTCGGGGGACGTATGCTTGTAATTGAATGAGAAAAGGACGGTAGTCTATCTTTTTTCAGCCTGTGATGAGAAAAAGAAAAAAGGGTTCGGTTTTTATGTGAATGAGATGATCTGATGGCTTCTGTTCTTGCTCTCTCATGCGGTTGTTAGCGAGCGTGAGTCTAACTAGTTTTGAAGCGAGAAATAGAGATCTTTATTTCTGATGGGGGAGGAGAGAGGAGTGAATAAGTTTTCCATGAAAGTGCGAATTTGTCCACTCGTAAGCGTTCACACCTTACGAAACTTACGAAACTGAAACCCAGAACAACCTTCGAGGGGAACCCTGATTGTACTTGTTTTGCTGCTGCTGATAGGGGGAGAAGAAGAACAAGACCCATTAAGGATAGAGGCGAAAGAGGAAGACGACGCAGGGGGGGAATTGAATTTTCGCTGTCTTTTGTTGATTTCTGGGGATGAGATGTCTTTGATGCTCTTGTTGGAGTTGAAGGATTTCAAGTACGGTTATTGGTTTCTGGATAGAGACAGACAGATTTAGATTGCTAGGTTTAATTCGAAATTGGGTTTCGTGTTTGAAGAAAGAAGGAATCTGACGAGATTCAGAGGGAGCTTTTGTTCTGTTTTTCACTTTGAATTGGTTGGACTTCGAAGGGGTGATCCTTTTTTTTCGGGTGAGATTTGTTTGGAACCATGAGAGCTGGATTAAGCACGATCCAGCAGACTCTAACGCCGGAGGCAGCCAGTGTTCTCAACCACTCGATTGCCGAGGCTTCTCGCCGGAACCACGGCCAGACCACCCCACTTCATGTAGCTGCTACCCTTTTGGCTTCGCCGTCCGGTTACCTTCGCCAGGCATGTATCCGATCCCACCCCAATTCGTCCCACCCGCTTCAGTGCCGGGCACTGGAGCTCTGTTTCAGTGTCGCACTCGAGCGTCTCCCGTCGGCGCAAAACCTCTCCCCTGGACTCGAGCCCCCAATCTCCAATGCTCTCATGGCTGCTCTGAAACGTGCTCAAGCACATCAACGTCGGGGATGCCCAGAGCAGCAACAGCAGCCTCTCTTGGCTGTTAAGGTGGAGCTCGAGCAGCTCATTATTTCTATTCTCGATGACCCGAGTGTGAGCCGAGTTATGCGAGAAGCGAGTTTCTCAAGCCCTGCTGTGAAGGCCACTATCGAACAGTCTCTGAATGCTTCAAGCTCTGCTAATTCTCCCACAATTGGATGTGGATTGGGTTTCCGTCCAGCGCCCACGGCGACTACGATGGCAGCAGCAGGGACGAATAGGAACTTGTATTTGAATCCCAGGTTGCAGCAGGGGAATTCTCCTCAACCAGGGCAGCACAGAGGCGAGGATGTGAAGCGGGTTATAGATATTTTGCTGAGGACGAAGAAACGGAATCCGATTCTGGTCGGAGAGTCTGAGCTCGACGCAGTAATGAGGGAGCTCTTACAGAGGATTGGCAATAAAGAGGTCGGAGAAGGGCCACTCAGGAATGTTCATGTGATCTCCTTGGATAAGGAATTTGCTTCTGATAGAACCCAGATCCCGACCAAGCTAAAGGAGTTGGAGAGTTCGATTGAGACCCGAATGAGTGGCAACAATGGAGGTGGTGTGATTCTTGACTTAGGTGACCTGAAATGGCTTGTTGAGCAGCCCGTTGGAGTTTCGGGTTCGGTACCATCGTCTCAGCAGCAGGTTGTCTCTGAAACAGGTAGAGTAGCGGTATCAGAGATGGGAAAACTGTTGGTCAAGTTCGGTGAGGGCAAAGGCCGGCTGTGGTTGATTGGAATGGCGACTTGTGAGACTTATCTGAGGTGCCAGGTCTATCACCCTTCAATGGAGAATGACTGGGATCTGCAGGCAGTTCCAATTACTGCAAAATCGCCACATCCAGGACTGTTTCCAAGGTGCACCTCCAGTTCCTTCATTTGTTTTTTGGTTAAGTTCCAGTTCCTTCTTTAATTTTGAAACACAGAGCTTCAATTTTAATTTTCACTTTAGTTTGGATCAATTTCAAAGCCTTTTCCTTATTTCACTGATGAATTTAGCTATATTTTATCATTTACTATGTGAAAGTATCTTACTACAATAGTTTGCTGTTGATTTTAAAATTTCCATCATTTGGATGACAAACTTGCTCAATATTGAGTTTTAAAGCTCAAATTCATGATGTTCACTTTTATGCTTCTTGTTTTATGATTGATTCAATCTAGAGAAAAGAATATGGAATTTTTTGGAATATATAAATGATGTTGCCCATTAGACTGAGGATTGAATGCTATTATACTTGTGGAATTTCAGACTTGGGAACAATGGGATTCTGAGCAGCTCAGTTGAATCTCTCACCCCTTTGAAGAGCTTCCCAATTGCAGCAACTGCTCTACAAAGGCGGCCGCCATCTGAAAACATGGATCCTGCTCAAAGAACAGCTTGTTGCCCTCAATGCATGAACAATTACGAGCAAGAACTAGCTAAGCTTGTAGCTAAGGAGGTTGACAAGTCTGCTTCTGATGCCAAAACAGAAGCAGCATGGACACCATTACCACAGTGGTTGCAGAATGCGAAACCAAACCTGAAAGATCAGTCACAGGTGTTCCCCATGAAGTCCCAAATCAACTTTCTCATTGTGAACTTAAATACAGCTTAGTTTTCCAACTAATTTCAATCAATCCTCTGTTTTATTTTTGTAGCTATCACAGACTAAGGAACAAGAATTGATGTGGAAGCAGAAAACTCAAGAATTACAGAAGAAATGGAACGATACTTGCTTGCGTCTTCATCCCAGTTTCCATCAAAATGTCAGCTCTGAAAGAATTTCACCAACTCCTATTCCAATGACAAGCTTGTACAACCCAAAGTTGCTAGAACGCCAATCTTTCCAACCCAAGTTGCAACTTACCAGAAACCTTGGAGGAACCCTGCAAATGAGCCAGAGTGAGGCTCCAAACCCACCATCTGAACGTGGTAGCACTCCACCAGGGAGCCCTGTAAGAACAGACCTTGTTCTTGGACGACCAAAGGTTACTGAAAATATGCCAGAGAAAACCCACAGTGAACGCATCAAAGACTTAGCTGGCTGTATTTCTTCAGAGACACAAGACAAGCTCTCTGATTGGCAAAAGGAAAAACTCATAAGTCCATTGGATGCTGACTCGTTCAAGAGACTCCTCAAGGGACTAAGAGAGAAGGTCGCATGGCAGGCAGATGCAGCATCTGCAATAGCTACAACTGTGACACAGTGCAAATCAGGCAATGGCAAAAGGCGAGGTGCTGGCACAAAGGGTGATATATGGATATTGTTTACAGGTCCTGACAAGGTTGGCAAGAAGAAGATGGCATCGGCCCTGTCAGAGCTAGTCAACAGAACCAGTCCGATCACAATTCGTCTTGGCTCCAAGTCTGGAAATGATGAGGAACCAGAGATGAATTTCCGTGGGAAGACTGTGATCGATCGAATAGCAGAAGCTGTGCAGAGGAACCCCTTCTCAGTGGTCGTGCTTGAGGACATTGATCAAGCAGATATGCTTGTCCATGGAAGCATCAAACGGGCAATTGAGAGAGGTAGACTTGCAGATTCCTATGGCCGTGAAGTCAGCCTAGGGAATGTGATATTTATCCTGACTGTGAGTTGGTTGCCGGAAGATCTGAACAACTTGTCGAACTGTCTTTCGCTCCATGAGGAGAAGCTTGCAAATGTAGCCTGTAGTAGTTGGCAATTACAACTATCCATTGGCGTGAAGACTAGCAAGCGCCGTCTGGACTGGCTAAATGACGACCATAGGCTCACAAGGCCAAGGAAAGATGCAGCTCATGCTCTATCATTTGATTTGAATCAAGCAGCTGATGCAGAGGATGATGCAGCACAGGAGTCCTGCAACTCAAGTGACCTCACCATGGAGCATGAGCATGAAAATGGCCTCATGATCAAGCTCTCTTCCATGGCATCACTGTCACGAGAGCTGCTCAACTTCGTAGACGAAGCCATCGTCTTCAAGCCTGTCGACTTCAGCCCAATACGGAGCAAGATCGCCGGCACCATTACATCAAAATTCAAGGCCATTGTTGGGCATGGGCAGTCAATTGTAGTTGACAACGAGACACTGAACAAAATTGTAGGGGGAGTCTGGTTTGGCAGGACTGAGTTTGAGGATTGGACAGAGAAGGTCCTAGTCCCCAGCTTCCACCAGCTGAAAACAAGCTTATCATCTCCTACCGTCGCTGGAAACGATGGATTTTCCATAAAGCTCACCTCAACTACAGACTCAGAGAGACGGACTGCCGGCGATTGGTTGCCGAGCAAGATCACGGTGACCATGGACGGGCTATGAAGACGGGTTGATATGTACATATGTCTCTACATAGAGGGGGTGATAGTAAAGAAGGCGGCATATTGAGGGGGTAAAAGCTAAATACCAAAATATCAAAGAAAAACAGTTAGAAGGACAGAAACTTGGGAGAGTAACGGAATCGTTAACGGCCGGCGGATGTCACACAGAAATCCATAATTAAATTAAAAATTTTCAAGTAAGCTTTTTGAGGCTATTGTTGTCGTTGTTATCATGCTATTGGATTCATGTTAATTACGTGGGCCTTGGTTAATAAGAACAAATCCCTTCCCACAGATTCAATGTAAAGATAGGAAAATGAGAATTTTCAATATTTTTCTTTCTATTTTTGTCTAATTTTGTGGATAAATGTGGACTATGTTAGTGGTTACCATTAATGATATCGTACACCGTCAGATTGGAACCTTTTTATGTGGACTAAGTCGTCGGAATTAAGAGAAGCGAGTAGTTATCGTGTTCCATGAATAACATGCAAAGTCGGAAAGTCCTTTTGGTCTGAGACTGAGAGCGCTTTTTGTTGATGTGGACAGTAGGGAACCGGCACGTGTTAATGCGGTGGGAGCGCGAATCCGTAGCTTTCCAGTTTGGTATACGTACCTTTATGCCCGGTGAATACGGCCACGTGTCGGGAATAATTTATTGACAAGTATTTGGTTTTCTTTCGGTGTGAACGCTTTCGGGGGGAAAGGATTCGAGTAATTTATATCCACAGTCCACAACATTTGAACTCATCTTCAGGTCTTGGTCCAAGTTAGATTCTTGTCCATGGATCCGGTCTACTCGAGGAACTAACAATATCATTTTTTGTGGCTAAGTACCTCGTCATTCCGTCTGCTCCTAGGTGGCCAATGATTCAGGGGTTGAAGTGGAGCTCCCTGGCGTAGTGCAATCCGACCGCTTCCTGTAGGGGATGATCTGCTCATCTTCGTAGAAGACGGGAACTAGTTGTCTGTAAGAACTGAATCAAAGAACCCAGAGTGGTTTACCCGACGGGGACACTCCGATGGCTAAGTTAGCACATAGTAGAGAGCTTGAAGATGATATCAGAGAGTTAGAGAGCTAGAAAGCAGGGGTTACCATCTATTTTCTCGCCTCCCTTCATTTCCTCCTTGGGGGGGTGAGGTATTTATATACTAGAGCCCTCGCGAGTTTGGTGGAGCAGTTCCTGGATTCCTGTTGTGATAGAACCTGTTTTCGTGTTAGGTGGGGGTAATGCCACCAACTAGTGAGGTTGCCCATTCCCGCCTGAATCGAAGAGTGGGTGAACTAATATAGCCGTTACAAGTCATAATCCCGTAAAATGCGGGGTACGGTGGTGAGCTCCTCGGAATTGTCATGCGGTGGTCGGTCTGACTAAGAAACGAGCTGCCCGTAAGGTAACAGGCAACATGGTGGCGAGCTGCCTAGGGGCGAGCTGCTTGTAAGTGCTGCATGGCGGCGAGCTGCCTGTGAGTGCCAGGCTCTCTAAGGTGCCAAGCTACATGATGGCGAATTGCCAAGTGCTTGTAAGTGTTGCATGGTGGCGAACTGCCTAATGCCTGTAAGTGCTACATGGTGGCGAGCTGCCTACTGCCTGCGAGTGCTGCATGGTGGCGAGTTGCCTGTAAGTGGTGAACTGCCTGGTTAGTTAGCACTTAGTTCTCATGAGGTGTCAGGTGTCATAATGTCATTGGAGGGCCAAATCCGCCCTCATCATTTGCCCCCCACTCCCAAGTTGAAAGTAACTCGGCGAAGGGAGTAGATTTCTCCTTTTGGCCCGTCATTCGACAAGCTCGTAAGCGCTGATTCATTTTCTTAGGCTCTGGGAGTTGCTTGGAAGCGAGCTGCCCATAAGGGGTCGAGGTCTCTGCCAGTTCGGTATTGTAGCCCTTAGGCTCTGGGAGCGACTTGTAGTCCACTCCTAGACTTTGCCCATGCCGAAGAGGTGACTGGGTCTTATGCAGTATTGTAGCCCTTAGGCTTCGGGAGCAACTCGTAGTCCACTCCTAGATTCTGCCCATGCCAAAGAGGCAACTGGGTTTTATGTAGTATTGTGGCCCTTAGGTTTTGGGAGCGACTCGTAGTCCACTCCTCAACTTTGCCCATGCCGAAGAGGCGACTGGGTCTTATGCAGTATTGTGGCCCTTATGGAGCGACTTGTAGTCCACTCCTGAACTTTTCCCATGCCGAATAGGCGACTGGGTCTTATGCAGTGCCGAGGTCTCTGCTAGTTTGGTACTTTAGCCCTTAAGCTCTGGGAGCGACTTATTGTCCACTCTCTTTGACTTTGCCCATGCCGAAGAGGTGACTGGGTCTTAAGCAGTATTGTAGCCCTTAGGCTTTGGGAGCAACTTATAGTCCACTCCTGAACTTTGTCCATGCCGAAGAGGCAATTGGGTCTTGAGCAATGTTGTGGCCCTTAGGCTTTGGGAGCGACTCATAGTCCACTCCTGAACTTTGCCCATGCCGAAAAGGCGACTGGGTCTTGAGCAGTGTTGTGGCCCTTAAGCTTTGGGAGCGACTCATAGTCCACACTCCTGAACTTTGCCCATGCCAAAGAGGCGACTGGGTCTTATGCAGTGCCGAGCTGCCTGTGAGATGTCGGGCTGACCAAGTGCCAAGCTGTCTGTGAGGTGTCGGGCTGACCAAGTGCCGAGCTACCTGTGAGGTGCCGAGCTCCCTGTGAGGTGTCGGTCTGACTAGGTGTCGAGCTGCTTGTGAGGTGCCGAGCTACCTGTGAGGTGTCGGGCTGACCAGGTGTCGAGCTTCCTATGAGGTGCCGGGCTAACCATGTGTCGAGTTGCTTGTGAGGTGCCAAGCTAACCAAGTGTTGGGCTTACTGGGTGTCGAGCTGCCTGTAATGTGCCGGGCTGACCAGGTGTCGAGCTGCCTGTGAGGTGCCAGGCTGACCGGGTGCCGAGCTACCTGTGAGGTGTCGGGCTGACCAGGTGCCGAGCTGCCTGTGAGGTGCCGAGCTGACCAGGTGCCGAGCTGGATTGATGAGCTACATTGCTCTTTAAAGACCTGCAAGGAACTAAATGTCAGGGGACCCGGGGTGGCTAACCCGGTGAGGTCGCTCTGGTGCTTAAGTCAGTACTCTCATAGTAGACAACGAGCTAAAAATCACAAATTCTGAGAGCTAGAACTTGCTTACTTGTTTTTGGCTAAAAATCACTCGCCAGGTCGGTGTATGTGCCAAGTCGCCAGGTCGCGTCTGGGCCAAGTTGCAAGATCGGTGCCTGTGCCAGGCCGCCAGGCTGCACGCAGACCACCAGGCCGCACGCAGGTCGTCGGGTGGGCGCCTTACAGCTATGATTGCACTGCATCAGCCTCGTGGTGTCGGTCACCCACTCCTACAAGAAGCTGCTAGGAGCTCGACCAACAGGGAAAACACTACTGACTTTAGGTCGCCAGCTTGCACGAGAGCCTTGGAAGGGCGCCCATTTAGTATGTTGGCCGCCAACTTCCACGGAAGCCACGAAGTGCTCATCTTTGTAGAGGGGACCTCGCGAAGAGGACTGATGAGGTTTTATTTTCTAGGAGAAGAGGACTTGGCTTTTTGTAAGATGAGAACTTAGCTTTTTGTAGCGATTCCCACAGACGGCACCAAATGATGTAACTGTTTCTGGTCACGCATCATTTTTTTTGTGGCTAAGTACCTCGTCATCCCGTCTGCTCCCAGGTGGCCAATGACTCAGGGGCTGAAGGGGAGCTCCCTGGCATAGTGCAACCCGGCTACTCCCTGCAGGAGATGATCTGCTCATCTTTGTAGATGGCGGGAACTGATTGCCTGCAAGAGCTGAATCAGAGAACCCGGGGTGGCTTACCCGGTAGGGACACTCCGATGGCTAAGTTAGCACACAGTAGAGAGCTTGAAGATGATATCAGGGAGTTAGAGAGCTAGAGAGTAGGGGTTACCATCTCTTTTCTCGCCTCCCTTCATTTCCTCCTTTGGGGGGTGAGGTCTTTATATACTGGAGTCCTCACGGGTTTGGTGGAGCAGTTCCTGGATTCCCACTGTGATGGGACCTGTTTTCGTGTTAGGTGGGGATAATGCCACCAACTAGTGAGGTTGTCCATTCTCGCCTGAATCAGGGAGTGGGTGAGCTAATATAGCTGTTACAAGTCATAATCCCGTAAAATGCGGGGTACGGTGGTGAGCTCCTCGGGGTTGTTATGCGGTGGTCGGTCTGACTAGGAAACGAGCTACCCATAAGGTGCTAGGCAGCATGGTGGCGAGTTGCCTGTAAGAGTTGCATGGCGGCAAGCTGCCTGTGAGTGCCAGGCCCTGTAAGGTGCCAGGCTACAGGATGGCGAGCTGCCTAGTGCCTGTAAGTGCTGCATGGTGGCGAGCTGCCTACTGCCTACGAGTGCTGCATGGTGGCGAGCTGCCTGTAAGTGGTGAGCTGCCTGGAAGTGGCGAGCTGCCTGGTTAGTTAGCACTTAGTTCTCATGAGGTGCCAGGTGTCATAATGTCATTGGAGGGCCAAATCCGCCCTCATCATAAGGTTTGTCCCAATTAATAATTGGGTTAAAACCTGTTCTTGTTGTGCCAAATTAATTATTTTATGCAATGTTTCAATAACTAGATCGGTTATAAAATCGGAGAAGGGAGAGGTTTACAGGTTCAACCAGACTCAAATTGTAATGATCAAGGTTTAAGCTTTTTAATTTATATTTTCTTTAAAATGCGTGTATAAAATAATATATAAAATAAAGAGTCACTAAAAAGCATAAATAAAGAGGTGGATTAATTCTAATTAAGCAATATATGAAAATAAGAGGGCATGGGTTCAAGTACTTTCATAATCATTTTAGTATTTTCAATTACCGACAGAATTGTCGCAAAGGATCTTAGTCAGATTTGTTATTTTATTCCTGAGGAAGAGCTACTCCCCATCTTGTGTAGCCCCTCAACTTTTCTTATCAAAAAAAAAAAAAATTCAATTACTAAGTAACCGAGTCAGTTTCATGAAACCGGGACCAATTTACCAATTTTTCAATTAAACCAAATGGCCAGTCAGTTTTCATTGGGTTTTCAGACATTATGGTTTTTGGGATCTGATCAAATAGACTAGGGCCCCTGGTCACGGTTCAACCAATTTGATCAAACGGTCCGATCCGATTTTCTAAACCCTAATTTTATGTCTAAAAGAGAAAAATTTATAGACAGTATATAAAGATAATTTGGGTAATTATTATAGATGTATATAAACAAGTCTAATTGGGTCAGACTGGATTAGCCTGGTTAACAATCGGTTCAGTTCCAACTTAATGTTTTATAGAGCTGATTAATAACCAGTGTTGGATTGGCATACCCTGTCCAAAACCAGACCCGAGCCACTGTTCGGTATTAAGCCCATCTTTTAACATAGGAACGACAACAAGGTGGGGCAAG